TTCAGTAATTAATACAATTAATTAGTCACGAGGCACATGATTTGTTAACTGTTAACTATGGAAAAGTCCTAGTTTGTAATATTGAAAAAATGACAGCAGTATGAATAACTGCCTGTCTGTTATTCTGTTAAGGAAAAGAAAGAAAGAAAGAAAGAAAGATAGAAAGAAAAAAGATTTCTTGATTTACAAATAAATAGCTTTCCTTCTTAGAAATTATTGCAGACATGGAAGCTATATTGCAATTTAACCCGGCCCATTGACTTGTTAGGCCATTTAGCTAAGCAACTGGGCTTTGGAAAGCCCAAACCCAGTAATCTTGACCCAAGAATAAATTACCTGTTCCAACTTAATTTGAATGAACTGCCTAAGCTCCCCAGTGTAGGCCCAACGATGAAGCTAATTTGGTATAAACTTTAATGAATTAATTGCTTGCATGTTTCATTTAATTTCAGCCAAAGCTCCAACTAATTTGGTAAATTAAATTAAATTCTAGTACACTTTAAATCCGTGATAAACACCATGATACAACACTCATGTACCATTGATGTAGAGACTCTGTAACATATTTACTTTGAGACCTTTTAGCGCACATGTCATATATTACATCAACTTATAACATTACAACACCATTAAATAAAAAATGCATCACATTTTCATTAATATTGGTTCCTCGATTTAATAATGTTGCATTTTCGATTTAATGTTTGATTTAATTGCGAGGCATCCTGAGAATACCGACAATATAATAATACCCTCACGCAATGGTAATTTAATTGCGAGGCATCCTGAGGCATCACGGATGAAACCGATCGTCGCATCCGGCTTCAAAGTGAAATCCACATGGGTTCCAGCATCCAACTATTGCATTATTGTTAAAAAATGCCTTTAATTTGGACAAGAAACTCAATAATTTGGCCCATGCCTTTAAATTGGACAACAACTAGCATCCATATTATGGTGGCAAGTCATTGTGGCATCCAAATCATGAACCATAGAATTTTATGTGTGTAATAGATTTAAATGCTTTACATTGTGTTTATTTTCACAATCCCAGTATAGTTTGCAGAAAGGGGAAAACTATTAAAGACTTATAGTGAAAGTGTACAAGGAGTAAGAGTAATATTATAATTGTTGACATTGTCACTCCTCTGTCTTTTTGTCGCAATGTCGTCAATTATAAACTTTTTAAAAAAATACTAGGATTCTCTACTGTAACGGAGAGATAAGAACAACGGAGAGATAAGAACAGCTAGAGAAATGACTTTGGACATGTGTGTTGGAATCTCACTGAATTTGAGAAAAGTTGTGGAAGTGTTTGGACCAAAGTAGAGGTTGCTTTCTATTGTGGAGGTTCTTTTTTCTTATTCTTTCTTTCTTTCATTTTTTTTTTAAAAAAAAAAAAAAAAAAAAAAAACAACTATGCTATTGTGGAGTTGGGTTGTGGAAGTTTACTAAAAGGGTAGAGGAAGTAATCCAAGTTAGTTGGTTTTTGTTTGGTTTAGTTCTGCAAAAACAGTCTTCAAAGAATAACTGTTTTCTGATATTTGGCATCTCTTTAACTTTTTAAAGAAGGGTTCTTTTCTGTTTTCCTTTTTACCCATTAACATCTAAATCAAAATAGGTAATTATTTGCTTTATTTCATAGATTTTTTCAGTGATTTGATCTTAGAGATGAGATTCTTGAGCTCGCACATACTTCATCTTATAGATTAGAGCTCAATTGTTTAGTAAAAGAACTTAAGAAAATAGCTTGATCACCATTTATTTACTTACCAGCGAATTTAGAACTGTGTATGAACAACTCGCTTCATTTTTCCTTAACATAGACAATTACGAACAAATATTAGTCAAAATTAAACGACTAAATTCAAAACTGTACATGAACAACTCGTAACCCTCTTAACATAGGCAATTAAGAACAAATATTAGTCAAAAATCAAATGAGTGAATCCAAAACAGCTTCATTTGTAACCCTTAATATAAACAATTACAAACAAACATTATTAAATAATTAAAAAAATATTGAAATCCAAAACTGTATAACCTTAATATAGGCAATTGGGTAGGAGTGGGAATTGATCACACTGAAAGTAAAGTAATGGACAATTCAGAAAGCAAGAGAGACCGATTATCATGATCCATGTGGTGCACAGATGTATATGACTTCAATTCTTATCTCTCTTTCAGTGATTTGAAATGGCCTGAATGCCGTGTCTTTTTTGCCAATGTTACTTCCCTTTCATGACTGTTATTAATGGTGGTTCCACCCCCCGAGAAAGGCGGGAGCTTCTCTTTTTTTGCAATTTCAGTTTTCCTGACTTGGTGTAGGCCCATTTTCTATTTTGGCTTCTTAGAAACTCCATTCTTGTCAAGCCCCATCATTCCTCTGTGTGGGCCCCAAAGCCCATTTTCTATTTCGGCTTCTTAGAAACTCCATTATTGTCAAGCCCCATCATTCTCCCCCCTATGTGGGCCCCAAAACTCACACAATGTCACTTGTATGTAATTTACAATATTGGTTTGGAGATTCCTTCTTGGGTGTCATTATTAGTGATCTTTTGTGGTTGCATATATTATGGGCCGTTTGGCCTGTTATATATGTTTTTGGTCAATATCGAAATAGTCGTTTTTTAAAGGTGTTTTAGGTATAAATTAAAACAATGTTTGATAACGAAAATTCATTTATAAAAATTCAGAAATTTGTTTTATGTCCTCTGTTATAGTATTAAAACACACAATATTATCAATTAGATGATATGAGTTTTGGTCAAAAAATTTGATATATTATAATCTATTTCAAACCAATATCAGCCATTCCAAACATGATATGAGTCCAAATTTAAAAACCAATATCAGAAAATAATATCATAACATACTCCAAACATGTCTTATATATATGACCTTTTGAATCTTCTATTGAAGGGATTATTGCTTGATGTAGAAATAGAAGTTTGGATTATCATGGGAATTTAGGGTTGTATTAATAATGCTTACGATTATGTCCCTACCTCGAATGCCCCACCTCCAATCCTCAAATAGTGGAATCAAACCATCTGAATTTGGATCCCCTCGGTGAACTGGACAATTATTGCAAGGGAGGGTGGAGATCATTGGCCCCGCACTCACTACTACAATATGATGTCCACCCTCCCATGCACAAATTAGGATTTGAGTTCGATTAATTAATTTTTGCATCAAGTGTGGCAGGTGATTTGGTGACCTAAACCTTTATAGAGGGGGAGTAGTTGGACCAAAAGTCCTTTGTATCCTTTCAACACATACATTTGCTGTAACAAAGGATCTGGAATTTGGTGATGGACGATGAGGAAGACCAAGAAATTCAATTTCTCTTTTGCTCATGCTGGCTTCTATTGCATGCTATAGTTACGTCATGAAATACATGGGTTCTTAATCAATTATTGCTCTTGCTTGTCCCAAAATGCGTTTGTTTCATTACTCTATAATTGCACATAGTTTATAAATAGAGTGTATATAATTGGGCATTTTGAACTTTGTTCAGTGTTCATACCTTCATATTTTTATTCATATCAAACTTTTCACCAGGTGAAAATGCTATTTGGACACAGTGAAGAGCGCCTCAGAGCAGAGGCTTCCTAGGACATCCATGAAAGGTCACTGACTTACATCATTTTAGCAGTACTTGCACGTCTCTCTACATTTTACTCCTTTCGTTAGTCTAGAATAATAACGTGGGAATAAAGTTGAGGGAAACTCCAATGGAAACATGGGTTTTGTGGGGCCCACCAACCCGAGTTAAGGAAAACTCCAAAACATGGGTCTTGTGGGGCTTGCCAACTAGAGTAAATAAAGGCTTTTTTTTTTTTTGGCAAATTAGGTTATTGGTTAATGCCCCAAATAAATAAAGTTGAGAAAAAAACTTGAATTGAGACATGGGTCATTTGAGACCCACAAGAAGCTTGGTCTAAGAATTTATCTTCTCATGTTTAATATAACCTCATTCCTAAGGGAGATGAGAGGGTTTTGAGAAAAGATATTGAATGAGCCTGGAATGTCATGTCATTAATATGCTTGGCAATGAAAATTCACCGTATAGAGAAATGGATCTCGATATTTGAAAAAAACTACTCAAAAATGTCACTTTCTATAAACTAATTTTTATATTTTCATTGATCAGGTATATTAATGACATGATATTTCCGGTTCACCTTATACCTACTCGGGTTTCGAGCCCCATAATGAATAATTTGTGAAATCACTTTAATATGTGTACTTACCTAACCAAAAAGAAAAAATGGAACTCATTTACCATTTACTACTGATTGATGACTAAAAATGTTTTTTTGTTCTTGGTGAATGGTTTATGAATAATTGATGTTGTCTTGTGTCTTTTAGCACAGCATTGTCCATACCCTGCGACTGAATTGGAATCAACACAATAGATCCAAATCTCAATGGGGAATATTGATTTTATTATAATCTGGAAGTGAAATACAAACTACAAACTTTTTTTTTTTATTTCACGAGTTTGATAATTGGGATAGAATAGGAGAAAGTACTATACTGTTGCCGATGACAATGACCACTCCAGAGCCATAGATTGGGACCAATTTTGTCCAATTGGAGTTTGGTATGCAAATATGCATTTGCTAGGCACGTGATAGGGTCCATATGAAGGTGTTTGATCAATTTCTTTGTCACCCATTACCAGGCAAGCTTAGCTAATACATGCATGAGAGTGCTTTCAAAACTCAACTAATAATATGTTATTACATAAAGAAAAAGACTTTATTAAACTTGGTTCTAGTTTTTGGTCTCTGTCTCTTAATCTAGATAAAAGAAAAGATTCTTTCCTTCAAAAAAGAGTTGCAAAGCTCATTGGTGGGGAAAATGATGCACATGGTGTGTTTGTGGCTTCTTTTTGTGTGTGTGTGTGTGTGTGAGAGAGAGAGGGAGAGAGAGAGAGAGCAAAGGTCTTAGATTGTGTGATTGTTCCACATGCAATGCCAGAGGAACCTCCATGATTAGGACTAACACCTCTCTCTCTCTCTCTCACACACACACACACACACTCATTCTCTCTCTCTAGTTTATAAATACATGATCACCATCCTTATAATTATACTACAAAAAGGGTAGGCTTGGAAGCAGTTGATGAACCTGAGATGAGCAATAGTCCATCACATTGCAGTAGATCCTGGTAAAATAGTACATTCACTATTTGCTTCACACTCTGTTCTATTCGTTGCTGTTTCATTCTTGAAAATTGGCTTTAATTTAATTTAATTGTTGGTTTCTTTTTTTTCTTTTTTTCTTTCTTTAAAAGGTCCATTAGTGAGGACTCACTAAGAAGGTATGTGTTCTATGCAAGTGAGAATTGTATTCAAGAGTTGTTATCAGCATCAGACTCCAACAGGTTTGGGAATGACAAAGATGGTTGGAAGGTTCTCACACTTGACAATGGAGTAGAGATATCTAAGCGCAGGTCCGGATCGTTTCACACCTTTCGTAGCCGCTGGCTGCTCAGATCAGTCTCTCCCCAACAATTCATCACTGTGGCCACTGCCATTGATGCTGCAAAGGTACATAACTAACAAGGCTAGCATGAATTTCGTTTATTTAAAACTGTACATTCCCGTGAACTCAAAATGAGATGTTGTTTTGAGAGAACTGTAAAAGACTATTTTCCTATAACTTTTGTAATGTTTTGTGATTCGTAGTTAACTATATGGTCAAAAAACAGTACCAAACAAATCCTTAGGGTATGATTGGTTTGTTCAAAAAGAAAATACAGTTTCGAGAAGTCAGGGGAAAGAGGTCTTGACCGTGGATGGAAGAACCCGAAATAGCACATCTTTTGACATTCTACAAGATTAACAATTCCATTATAGGCATTTGGGTGAAGGGCAAAAATAAAAAAACTATTTCAGATAATTATAAAAGAGAGTTCTCTCAAAACATGATTTTTTTTTTTTTATTGATTGGGATTTCTGAAAATACTTTTCTAAATAATCAACCGAACATGTTTTATACTGATTCAGTTCTCAAAAAATAAAAAAATCGTTCTCAAAAAACTGAATCAAACATAAAACTGTTTTGAGTGCTTGTGTTCCGTAGAAAGGCAGCACAAGGCTATTGGAGTTATTTCATTCAAGAACTATATGAAATTTCCATCTTGGATAGTAGAATTCAGAGTTTCTACTAAAAAACCTAGGGTTGCTCCATAGACATATATACATTGTTGATGGTTTTTCTTTATATTGTTGGACCAGCAATGGGACTCTGATTTGATTGAAGCAAGGTACATAAAAGACCTTGAAGACAATCTCAGTATCATCAGCCTAAGGTTTGGAGAGAGCTCTAAGCCTCTTTTTAGGAACAGAGAGTTCATTGTCTATGAGCGACGTGAAACCATGGATGATGGGACCTTGGTAAGTACTTCGAGCTTAAAACCCTAAAATTAATCACTTTTTCTGTACTGTTGAACCCAAATTATGTCTTGATCAGGTTGTAGCAGTAGCTTCATTGCCAAAAGAGATAGCAGCAGGATTGCACCCGAAGCAAAACAACGCAATCAGAGGACTGTTGCTGCAGTCTGGATGGGTCATTGAGAAGCTTGAAGATGACTCTTGTATGGTCACCTATGTTGTTCAGGTAATCAATTGCTCATTTACATACAAACAACTTTATTCAGACCTAACAGTCTAACCTAGAACGCTAATCAAAGCACTCTTATACATTGAATATATCGAATAAGATCAAAATTTTGACCTTATTCAATGCATCTAAGAGATGGAAATCCCTCCTAGTCATTCCGGTTAGACTATTAGGTCTAAAAATTATTATTCTATACGCGTGCGCGTGTGTGTGTGTTTTTTAGGGTTGTATGATACAATGGAGGCTAATTTTGTTTAGTTATTGCATTTCAGTCATTATTCTTTATGTGTGTGTGTGTAGTTTTAGGGTTGTATGATACAATGGAGGCTAATTTTGTTTAGTTGTTGCATTTCAGTTGGACCCTGCAGGATGGTTGCCCAAGTGCTTTGTGAATAGGCTCAACACCAAACTGGTTATGATCATTGAAAACCTTAGGAAACAAGCGCAAGCTTCTCCGACTAAAGATGATACTACATGATTATCAATTTGTTTTAAAATGTGGAAAGGAAAACTAAGGAATATATATATATACTCCTTTTTGGTCAGGGCTATAGCATCAACCATAATCATTTACTACTACTACTACTACTCTCTCTCTCTCTCTCTCTCTCACACACACACACACACACTCAGTTGGCTGATTGTGATAATTAATTGATATGATATTTTTTTTTGGATCTTGAACCAGGATGACCCAAATAGAGCTACTTGCATGCTCTAGGTTGGGTGGGGAAAAGAATAAACATGAAGGGATATTTTGTTCCCCAATAGATTATATATATGAACCAATTGAAGGACAGAAGACTTTAATTAAATTTTAATTGAACTTTTAAATTAATTGGTTTTAGGTCATTAAATAATCCAATTTAGTGAAGGGGATTCCTAGAGAGAGAAAAAAAAAATTGGGATCCCAAAAGCATCAACACCACATGCAGTGAGTGAGTGAGAGAGAGAGAGAGAGAGAGATGGCTAGCCGAATATATATGTATATATTTGATCCCAAAAGAATCAAATATATGTGTGCATATATATATATATATATATATATAAATTATTTTAGTATATTAAATCCCACGGAGAAGTGCTCTGTGACTGTTGGAGAGTACTCTGAACTCAACGTCAAAAATAAAGTCAACTTGCAATTAATAATTACATAAACTAATTGATAACCCACATTTTAAAGGTTGTCCACCAATTGCCAACTGCTTTTGTTACTAATTAAAGAAAACATTCAAGACTTTGACTAACAAATCCGTGTAGTACTGTCACAAATGATATGTTTCTTGCAAAACCACTCACTTCCCATTATTTCATCTATCTCCAACACAAAAAGTCAGCATGAGTTGACAAAAAGGCATCATTTATTAGTTGAACAAAACCAATTTCAGAAAACTCACTCAAAAAGTAAGCAAATAATTGGAAAAAGGTATCATAAATTGGTTGAACAAAACCAATTTCAAAAGTATTCAATCCTATCAATAGTATTTGGAGCTTCTCCATCTCTAAATGAAAAAAATAGAAATACTACGAGCTCGATTTGTAATTATAAAAATAATTTTTTATTTTTAAAAAATTGAAAGTTGTACAAAAATATTCTGTTTGGTTTAATTTTTTTAAAAATTATTTTTTTAAAACTCAGTTACAAAAATATCGGACTTTGCTTAGTTTATAACCCTGAGAACAGTTTCTGAAAAATTGAAATCTGTACAAAATTTTTTGTTTAATTCAGTTTTTTTTAAATTATTTTTTGAAAACTTAGTTATAAAAAAAAAATCTGTTTTCATAGAATTGTCTTTTATAATTCTCTTAAAACAGTGTTATATTCTATGAATTCTTGATAACCGTTCTCAGACTTACAAACCAAGTTCTCAGACTTACAAACCAAGTAGATCGTTCATTTTCAAAGAATTAAAAAAGATTGTTCTCTAAGAACAATTTTTTGTTTTTTTAGTTATTGAGAACTATTTTGAGAGTTACAAACCAAGTAGACCTACATCTGCTATAGTGAACTCCACTCTCAACTTTCACTTACGCTCTGTGAGTTAGGAATTGGCAATTTTATCTTTTAAAAAAGTACGACCCTATTTTTTAAACCAATTAAAGTACTTGTCATGAATTCAAACTGAGATCAAAAAAAAAAAAAAAAAAAAAAAAAAAAACTCAACTTGGTTTATTTTTCACCCTAATGCCGACTTGAAACACTCAAATTTGTCATGTCCTGTGCTGTAAGTCAAGAAAGTTGGTAATGTGGTAATAGTTTAGTGTAACAAAATTTCTTTTTAACTCAAAATAGCACAAAAGGCAAATTGATTTGAACGTTTATTGTCTTGGAGAGAGGCGCGATGAAATAGACATATATGTGAAAAACGCAGACTACTTGCATTGGACTTCAAGGACCCTGTAAAACTATAATAAAAAATAAAATAAAAGAAAAAAAGAGAGAGAGACTATACAGGGACTAGGATAAAGCCTGAAGCCCAAACAACAGCATCAGAGGAGGGCAAGGCCCACAAACAAGGCCCTTGAAATTGACTTCAGCCTTTTGTCCAAAACCACAAACGAGATTATCGAAACCAGATCTTCTCCCCTTGTAACACTATTTTTATTTTTTGTAGTATATAATAGTGGTGCACTTCCATTTAACGTGTTGCACATATACTAACCAAAAATATATACAAACACATGATCCACGCAACCGAGATACGGATACCATATATATATATATATATACACAGAGAGTAATATATAAAAGAATTAATTGATGCATGTGAGATACCATATATATATATATAAGTACGTCTATGTATATAAAAGAGAATAGTTGCATGTTAGGTATTAATAGCTAGGAAATGCTAATCTCGAACGCCCAAACCGGCATGTCACAATGAACGAAGATCCAATAGAACATGAAACAAAATGCTTATATAGTTATATACATAACATTACTATGTCTCTCTCTCTCTCTCTCTCCACTGTTGAAGTCTGAGTGACTCCTCCATTTCTTCCATTCTACTCCATTAATCTCTGTCTTCTCCAAAACTAGTTTTAGAGAGAGAAAAAAAACCGATCAGAGAGAAACATGGGAAGTGGAGGAGGAGCTGAAAACTACTCACCCAAAAAAAAACCGCCACTTCAACATTCCCCAGCCAAGTACAAGCTCAAAATGCTACTCCTTGTCATACTAACCAACCTCGTCACAATCTACATTTTCACTGGCCCCTTTTTAAACACACAACCAATATCCAAATACACCCAACACCTCTCCCTCCCTCTTTGGGACACCACCGCCACCACCCTCTTGCACCACCAGCTCAACTCCACCACCCACCAACTCGCCGCCAGTCACTCCCAAATCTCCGACTTACAACAACAACTCAAGTCCACCAACCTCCTCATAGATGCTCTCCTCAATGAGCTTACACACCTCCACAACCCCACACCAACTTCCCCAACAAACTTCAACTATGACAATGCTGTGATGAGTACTTTGCCTAAGGAAGTGAGGCTTGCCATTGGCCCTCACAAACTCCCACTAGGGTACTCGCCGAGAATGGGATCCGGCGAGGTCTACCCGCCATTCGGAGGAGGCTGCTTGATGCTTCAAAGTGAGCTGCAGCAGTACATGAGTTATGACATTGGAGGGGAGTGTCCTGTGGACGATGTCTTCGCGCAAAGACTCATGCTCAAGGGGTGTGAGCCTCTCCCTCGCCGGAGATGCCACCCCAAGTCACCGGCCGGTTATGTCGAGCCAAATCCATTGCCGGAGAGTCTATGGACCACCCCACCTGACTCAAGCATTATCTGGGATCCCTACACTTGTAAGGACTACAAGTGCCTAATAGACCGAAAAAATGTGGCAGGATACTTCGATTGCAAGGACTGTTTCGACTTGCAGAGTAGGGAAAAAAGCCGGTGGCTATTCGATAATGGAGGATTAGATTACGCGATTGATCGGATTCTTGGCGAGAAACCTCCGGGAACAATCCGAATTGGGCTTGACATAGGAGGTGGGACCGGCACGTTCGCGGCCAGGATGAAGGAAAGGAATGTGACCATCATCACAAGCTCCATGAACTTGGATGGTCCTTTCAACAGCTTCATTGCTTCGAGGGGGTTGATTTCGATGCATGTCAGTGTGTCGCAGAGGCTTCCTTTCTTCGAAAACACGCTGGACATAGTGCATTCGATGCATGTGTTGAGCAATTGGATTCCGGACACCATGCTTGAGTTCACATTGTATGATATATACAGGGTGTTGAGGCCAGGGGGTTTGTTTTGGCTAGACCATTTCTTTTGCTTGGGGTCACAGCTGAATGAGACTTATGTTCCGATGTTGGATCGGGTCGGATTCAAGAAGATCAGGTGGAATGCTGGGATGAAGATGGATCGTGGAGTCGAGAAGAATGAGTGGTACTTTTCAGCATTGTTGGAGAAACCAATGACTTAGAGAATTGAGAGAGAATTGTATTGCATTTTGTATGATTTTGAGTGCACAACTAGTTTGCATTTGATAATGAGGTTTTAATAGTTCAGTGCTTTGAATGCAGGACAGTGTGATGCTTAGCTTGATCAGATTGTGTAATAAATTGCTCGTGTTTGATGCAATTAACTAGAGAAATATATATAATTTGCTTATAAGACAAGATGAATGTAACTTTCAGGAGGAGCAATAAATTCCATGTCCACAAGGCTATGGGTGTATTTGTTGTTGCAGAAAGGATAACCGATCTAATTGACTCCTTAATTTGTGATTGGATTATCCAATTTAAAATCTAAGCCAGCAAGATCGAATTGACTCCTTAATTTGTGATTAGAAAATTTTAGTTCAAAATTTTAATTAAATTTTTTCCAATTCCAAATCTAAACCTGCGATTTAATGCTCTCCAATATAAATACTGTTGATGCGTAAATCCTCACGACTCGAAACGACGGCGTTTACCTGCAAAACAAAGGAACGTCACCTCGAATGGCACCGTTGGGGTGCCGGCCGAGGACTCTCCGACGATCAAGTTAGTACTTGTAATCGTATCACATAATAATTATATATATTCTGTTTAGGGGTTTTTTTTCGTACATTCTTTAACGGCTTGATGCCCTATTTATGGCTGTCGATCGTAATCAAATAGGTCTCGCAGGAGATTTGCTTGTGCGAGATCAGAGAGATCATCTGTTGCCAGATTTGTCGGAAATATAATTTGCTCCTTTGACTTTCTCAAATTATGCCAAGGTTATCCTCACCCTGTTGAATCACGTCGTCATTCATTATCCTAGATAAGAAATGTCATCATTCTTATCCGATGGAAATCTTTATCTCTGATAACGAAATATGTCGAAGAGGTTTGGCGGCTGGTCAAGGTAGGTTATTTTTCCCTATCAATTGCTCCCCATTCCCAAGCTTGCTCGTCTAGCTTTGGGAAAGTAAAATTTTTTTTTTTTGGCCCTGGGTACTATTCCAGCGGATACTGTTCATGTGAACAGTAGAAGATTTTTTTTTTTTTTTTCCCTTGCCCTGGAACATTACTCGTGGGGTACTGTTCACGTGAACAGTAGATTTTTTATTTTATTTTTTTTTTCCTTGCCCTGGAACAGTACCTCACAGAACTGTTCCTGTGAACAATAGATATATATATATATATATATATATATATATATATATATATATATATATATTTTTTTTTTTTTTTTTTTGGCCCTGGGAACTCTTCCCTCGGGTACTATTTTTAGTACACTTGGGTAATCTCCTCACGGGTACTATTTTTAGTACCTTTGGGTACTCTGTCCCTGGGTACTATTTTTTATACCCTTGGGTACTCTGTCCCTGGGTATTCTTTTTGGTACCCTTGGGTACTCTTCCCTTGGTAAAGGAATAAATTGAACGAGTTTCACTCAGGTCGTCACTCCTTTAATAAGGGAATTAAATTTTACGAGCTTTACTCTGCTCGTCCCCTTTAGTAAGGAATTTTTATTTACTATCCCTTATAGTACGGGGATATTAATTATGGAATTCATTCATCCCGGTCCTTGTAGTACAGGACATTTATTTACTATCCCTTATAGTACGGAGATATTGATTGCGGGATTCATTCAACCCGAGTTCTTTTAGTACATGACATTTCTTTACTATCCCTTATAGTACGAGGATATTGATTACGGGATTCATTCAGCCCGTCCTTTTAGCAAAGGAATAAATTTTACGAGCTTCACTCAGCTCGTCCCTTTAGTAAGGGAATTAATTACCACATAGGTATAACACGTGAGGGGGAGGATCGTTTTTTGACCTAACCTTTGTAGGTTAAGTCTTGATCTCTGATGACCATACTTTTGTCAGTTAGGCCCTGGTCTTGGTCTCTGATGACCAAACTTGGGGTGACCGGGCATTGATCTTGGATGACCGAGCCTTTGTAGACTTTGGGCAATCAATTCTTAATCTTGGTTAACTAGGCCTTAGTTTTGGATAACCAAGCCTTGATTTATGATAACCAAGGGTTGTACCCTTCCCGATGTGTAGAGACTTACCTGGTTATGGTTTTGGAGGATCGAGCACCGATCTTGGACGACTAGTGCCCCCGAGGGGTTGCTAAAGGAAAGAGACTAAAAACCCGACTAGCTCCATGCACCAAGGTACATCAATCTTCTAAACCTTGTCATCATATGTAGATCGACAATTGATATCGTATGATCCACTATTCTGTCCCCGATGCTGGGATCTTGGGTGATGACCCATTCTATGGACATTTATACAACAGACGGGGTGTCTGGTGCTGCAACAATTTACAGTTGTCCAAAAATATTAAATTGTGTTAGAAAGAATTACTGAAAATTAACCTGCAATGGATTGTCAATCCAAAATTCTGCATAATCTGAAATCGATAGGCAATTCCTGCAAGGGAAGAGAGGTAACGACTGCCGTCTGGTAGGTGGAGGCTTAGTGTCCAACGACTAGCTTGATGCTTAGTGAATAGGGGAGTCGTACCCAACGGCTGACAGATGACGGTCTGGTGGCTAGTACCAGATAACGGACGGTTCCAGTCTCAAGCTCGATCATGCTAAGCAAGGACTCCATTTATTCTACCGACGATGTAGGATTTCACTTCATGATTTAGTTTTGGAATATCTTTACTTTCAGTTTTTCAGTTTCAGTTGGAGTTTTATTTCGGGGTCCACTAGTTGGATTCCCAAGTTGTAACCTTGGAGGTTTTTGAGCTGGATTATTGAATCTTTATTATTTGAGGATTTTATTTTAGTTTCTATCAACTTAAACTTTATTTCTTATTTCGGTTTGTATTCTGTGTTCATTATAAAATATTAATTGTTTGATATCCCTCGGGTTTGGGCCTGGGCCTGATCAACCCGTGTCTCAGATCCGAGAGGTATCACAGTTGGTATCAGAGTACTCTAGATTCAAGTGTCTCTAGGACGTTTCGTATTAAGACTTCCGAGTAGCGTTTTCTCTTGATTAGAGCTTAAGTTTTGGATTTATTGTATTTCTTTACGATTCGTTTAAACTCGTACTAATATCTGTCTTTCTTTGTTAACAGCATGGTTAACGCTAGAAGAGGACAGATGAACAATCGATAGAGGAGAATGGCTTGTAGGCAACAGGAACGCCTGCGGCGTCAGGGAGAGCAGCATTTGCCAGAGTTTCAGGATGATGGTCAGTTCCATGAAGAGTAGGAGGATGTTCAGCAGACTCGGGATCAGGGAGGAGATCCAGAGTTTACTCCTCATATCAATGACCTCATTGCTCGGGCTATAGAAGTTGGGGTAACAGCTGCACTTCGGAATCCGCCTCAGGTACAGCCGGCACCGATACCAGCACCGGTTGTTCAGACTGATACTTGGGAAAAGGCAAGGAGTTCTTTCACAAAGGGGAGCCCACCTGAGTTCACAGACTCCACCGATACAAGAGCAGCTCACTAGTGGAAACAAGACATCGAGCGACATCTTCGCTTGGTTCAGTACACGGAGGTTCAAAAGCAGATGCTTGCTACATTCAGGCTTGTTACGGATGCATTACAGTGGTGGGAGTCAGTTACCACCATAAAGGAGAGGATGGCATTGACTTACGATCAGTTTAGTATACGCTTTGATGAAAAGTACTTTCCTTATGCATTCAGGGCAGCTATGAAGACCGAGTTTCTAAATCTGCAGTAGGGGAATATGACAGTGGCGGAGTATGAGCAGCAGTTCATGCGCTTATCAGTTTTTGCTCCGGAGGAAATGGATACAGAGGAAAAGAAGCGAAATAGTTTCGTCAAGGGACTGATGTGGTTTATCAAGAGAGCTATTACAGGTAGTCCAGCCTATACTACCTATGCTCAAGTGGTAGACGCCGCTCTACAGCAGTATCAATTGATTGTGGATATCAGACAGACCAAGGGTGAGAAGCGGGGTGATAGAGACTCTGTTAATCAGTCAGCTGAAAAAGGGAATGGGAACGGTCACCGACAGAATGACAAGGGCAAGTTTCAGGGACAACAACCTTGGAAGAAGCATAAAGGTGGATCAGATGCTCCCAGAGATATAGCTCATGTTTAGCGACAGCAGAATGGGGGACCACAGGCAGGACAGGGTCAGCCACAGGCTAACCGACAGAGGAGGCCATTCAGTACTTTCCAGGATAGTTGTTACACTTGTGGAACGTATGGTCACACTTCCAGGCAGTGTCCTACAGTTAGACAGGGACAGGGATAGGGGCAGGGACAGCATGTGCAGCAGGGGCAGAGAGCGCCAGTGCTTCTACCAGCTCCACATGTTCCTCGGATTCAGGGACAGACTTATCCAGCATTACCGGCACCGCTGCAGCTCAGGGACAGGCACCGCAGCAGTTACATTATAGCAGGATGTACAACCCTAAGCCACAGGATATGCAGGCACCTCAGGCTGTTGAGGGTAAGTTTCCTATACATGGTTTTCATGGACGTGTTTTATTTGATACAGGTGCTACACATTCATTTATAGTTAGGACTTTTGTTGTTTTATCTGGGATAAGGACGAGGGTTTGCACTAGACCTCATGGTATTTCTACACCATTGGGCGATACAACTATTATATATGAGAGTGATGGGCCTGTGGCACTAGTATTGGCAGACTCAAGTTTCTAGCCAATCTATTGGTCCTGGACATGCACACTTATGGTGTGATACTTGGGATGGATTGGTTGCCTCACTACCATGCCCAAGTTAATTATTTTGATAAGTCTATTGTGTTTACCATACCTGGTCAGGACATGTATGTCGTCGCCATGCCGCGTTCTAGCGGAGTTATTAGTACCTATTTGTTCTATGTGGAGGAAGAAACGGAGGAGGGGACTACTGTATCGTTGGATAACATACCGATTGTACAGGATTTCCCGGATGTATTTCAGGAGATTCCAGGCTTGCCACCTAGTCGCGAGATCGATTTTGTGATAGACTTAGCTCCAGGCACTGCGCCTATTGCTAGGGC